AAAAAAGAACATTTTATTAAAAAAAAATCTCACAAATTGAGCACAAACAGTATAATAGATTTTAATTATAACTATTTTGTCAAGGAGCCTGTGCATGAAATGCATTTCTGTATGTTTAGGAGCAATAATATTTCTCAGGGTTTTTTTGTTTGGTTTGGTTTGGTTTTGTCTTTGAACTCTGAATGAATTTTATAATTTAGTTTTGAATTTCTGAAAATTGGCTCAGTGAAAACTAAAACATCGTTTTAAAATAGTCATAAAGCAAAAAGGGGGTTTTGCTCACAAGAATAAATGGCCACAGTGTATTCCTGTTCCGAGCCACAGTAATAAGTGGATAACTTTAAATGGTTTACTTTGCTACAGTACCAAAGCCAAATGTGTGCCAGGAGTCATCTTCAGTCTGAGATATGTCCAAATAGCCAGTTCAGTGGCCATAGAATGCTACAGGTGTATTTGCATTTGTTCTAGGGACTTTTTGTTAGCTTTCTATGCAAGATAACCTTGTGTCTGTGCTGTTACTCAGTTTTGCTTTTATAACTCTCTGATTTAATTTTTTTAGAAAGTTGAATCACATGTAAGTGTATGACTTCCAATTTTCACACATCTGAGACTCAAGTGTATTGTTTTGAAAACATAACAAACTGTAAGTAGATTTATTCTAGTAGATAGCATATGGATGGCATACTACTATATACCCCTTACTATTTGCTCTGTCGCTATTTTTGGCACTCGCATTCCTAGGCATAAGAAAAACAAATTTTCTTGTAGAGTACATGAAGTGAGGTGAACTTAAATATTGGTCTAAAGAAGTGCTTATGAAATGACCAACCTTTAGTCAGTCAGAACAGTGCTTGAGGTCCTGGAAATTGCTGTCAGTCCGGTGAAAGTCAGAGGGGGACATGACTTGATGTCCACAAAGCTATGACCCTTTGCCTCACTTTGGACCTGGTGTTACCCTCAATACTTGGTAAAGAATGGGAAAGGCATTTGCCCTTGAAAATATTGAACTGAAGCAGTAATATCTTGAACTTGCAATGATACTAGATGGGTTTAGCAGCAGAGGTTTGGTGGTGTGGGTGTTTATTGTGTCAGACTTGGCTTCCAAGACAAGGGCTTCTTTTCATATAACAATGAGACACAAAATTAAGGCTTCAGTGCCACAGCTGTTGGAAGTTGTAGGTGGTGATGTCAGTATTGGTAACTCACATTTATTTTATGTGTTGTTTTGGGTTTTATTTTTATAATACGCCCTAAGTCAATAAAATCAGTGGAGAACAGGTATAAGTTTGCTATTCCATTTTAATCTACTTTTCAGTGTGAGGGCAAGCTGTGAGCAGCTGGATGCAATGTATTGTGGAGCAGTAACCTTAATGTGGGAGTCTGTTCTTTTGCATAAGAACCATAATGTTTTATACTGAACTCATTGTGTCATGTTATTTGAACAGACTGAAATAAAAGAGTAAACTACACTATACATGTTGATCAATGCATGAAGTAGTTTTTATGTTGATGCTAGTCTGTAAGATTTTGTAGTTGTGTAGGATTATAGAATTCTTTGATATACTTCTTGAAATTAAAAAGGAAACCATGATTAGGGGATTTTTGACATTTGAAAGTTCTAGTATTGTAGGAAATTTTGCTCCTTATTATGATGTAAAGAACATCTTCCCTAAACAAGTTTAATAACAGAATTAGTTTTACCATGTAGAGAAGAATCCCTCACCAAATGATACGTTATTTGCGTTGTAGTATGGCTTTTGTGATAGTTGTATCAGTAATGAAATGCTGTTGAAGGTTTTCAGAGAGTAATTTGTATTTCAGAAATGCTGGAAACTACTTTAAAAATAAAATAAAGAAAAAGGGAATCTTACCTGACAATGAACTAATGGTCTTGGATAAGTAGTAAAGCTTGCCTCTGTTGGATAAGATGTTCAATACACTTCAGCCAGCTGTCTTAAGTCCTTGTAGGAATACACTTGTCCTAAGGAAGATTAGTCTTTTTGATGATTAGTTCACTGAACTGAGCCTCACCTTTTTCTTGACATATATAACCAAGTGTTTATATATTCACAAATCTTACGTAAATACATGCAATCCTAGAGCCTTTTCAAGCATTTCCATTATCAGTGTTTTATGATTTGTTTTACATTAGAGCTTTCCTATTTGGTACAGTGTTTTAGCCCATAAATATTGATTTTGATGACAAAATAATTAGGTTATATTATGTTAAGCAAACAGATAGCTTTTTTGGAGGTCTGCTGGACTTCGGGTGAGTTTTTAGGACCACAATGTAGTGGCCTGTAGGAATGAAATGTATTACACTTGCTTACAGCTGAGAGACAACTACCAGTGCCTGATACTTCTAATCATTTGGGCATTGCTGTATGAATGGAAATGCATTTTTTTCCTTTTTCTTCACTGAAACAAGTCCTTTGCTGACAGCAAATGTGTTATACTCTGCCAAATGAAATAGTGCATGAAATTCTGCTCTCTTTTTTTAAGCAAGAAGTTCTGTGTAGTTTCCATGATTGTAGATTGAATTTTCATTCAGCCTGATTATATTTTTCATCTTAACTGTAACTAGTGACCGGATAATTATTTTGGCCTTAAAAATACATAAAGCTATTATAGGTGCTTGATAGGCTGTTTCATGACTTAAATTTAATTCAAGATATAATAAAATTATTTATTAGAAATCTTTGAAAACAAAAGTGAACTTTTAATGCTCATTATGTTTTACACAGTGATGTTGAAGCTTCTCAGTTTATTTTCATAAGAATTAACATGAATGTTCTAGGAATGTGCATGTGGGTTCTGTACATTTTTTTGCCGTAGTTACTAAGTGTTTTTTGAAAATTAGGTGCATCAGATGTCTCTAGATGAAACATGATTTCACAGAAATAGTTAGTCATTCCTTAGAAATAATTATTTCTTCTTGAAAAATAAATGTCATAGTGAATTTAATCCATTTGCATCCATCTGTGAGCATGTGAGAATGTTTTTGTCTTTTCCTGGTCTGGTTTTCTGGACCATGTTAGTGCAAAGTATTTACAAGAGCCATCAAGAAATTGTTACCCTGTTTGTTCAGTATAAAAATACATAAATTGGACTTTGCTCTAAAATAATGTGTTGTCTTTTTTGAGAGGTTTTCCTTTCTGTATATTAGTTTGACAGTGTGCTGCATTTGTTTTTCATGCTGAGGTAAATAAGAGATAAGTAAGTACTAAATAGAGAAAGGGAAAGAAAAAGTTTCCCAGGGTTTCATACAAGAAGGCTGCTTCAGCTCCAGGCAGGCACAGGTGATCACAAGCAACATTATTGTGTGAAGTTACCCTTCCTCTTTGTGACTGATACAGTGCTGCTCCTAATTTAGTGCAAATGCAAAGTGAAATGGATTTGCTTAAATTATCTCTATTAGCTGTGTGTGACCTTCATCAGAAATGAAGCTAACCCATTTTCCTTCAGGTTTTCATGGCCTAGAAGCATGTTATGAGCAGCTATAACTTTTCAGGCAGGCATTGGTACGTCTAGTATGAGAACGGTGACATCCAAAGAAATGCTGGCTGGACTGAATGCCGCTGTTCAGTGGTGCTGTTTGAACACTGGTTGTAGGCATGTGGCTTGGTGTTCTCCTTTGCACTGTGCACCTGCAGCTGCTTCTCCTCAGTTTGACCACTGGTCTCAGGTTGTTAAGATTTGCAATTCTTGATTCAGCCAGCTGAATGACTTCAGCTATTAAGGGATGAAAGGGGAGTGCCAGGACTTGCAGTAAGAAAGGCTGCCTGGCACTTCCCAGTATAGGGTGCTCCTAAGAGTTCTTTATAACTTTGCAGAATGCTAGCCTTTATGGCTAGGCTGTTGCCTCTAGCTTAAAGGCTCTTTTGCTGCTAAAATATTCATTGTCTGTAAGAATGTGTGGAAAAAAAAGTTGTTTCCCATTGTAAATGTGTTTGATTTTTTATATAGAAACTTTTTGGGTTGTTTGTTTTGGTTTGGTTTAGTTTTTTTGGAAATGCTCCCCGTCCCTCCCTTTGGAGCAGAGACTAGGAGTTAGATGGCAATGTGGGAAGTGCTGGTGATAGGCACTGGAAAGAACAGCTTATGAATCATGGCTTTGCCTTTGTCAGTACTGCAAAATTCTCAGATCTAACCAAAATGGCACTTTTCACATGTAGTCTTGAGCATGTGACAGCTGTGTGGCCTGGAAGGGGAGGAGAAGGCTGAGCTGGTGGACAAAACCGATGCCTTGTACTGCAGTGCTGGAGAACCGAAATTGGACCTGTGAGACACTGACATGCATGGGGTCCTAGTGTGGTCCTGCTGCTAAAATGTCATGACTGTTAACAGGAGAGTCAGACCCAGAGAGTGAGAGTTAATATTGGGGAATGAAGGAGGGAGGAAGAAGGGGGGGTCAAGGGGAGTGTGGCACTGCTAGCCAAGCTTGGAAGTGACTGAGCCGGAAGAGATGAAAAACCTCTGGGACTTGGGCGTAAGGTGAGGCTTGGCAAGGGCAACGAAGATAGGAATGAAAAAGGACCAATGCTTGAATCAACATGGGCCAGAGGATATGGCTTGAGAAAAATAGGCAGAGGAGTTTGTTCTGGAAGGTCCAGAGATCTTTGAATATTAAGTAAACACTCTTTGATTTCAGTAGAAGCTCCTTGAGAATCTTTTTAACCATCGCCTATGGCTAGTTTCCATGCAGAGAATTGATTCACATTTGCAACCTGTTTACTACTTTGCCACAAGAGCTGCACAGTATATCTGAAGATATCAACCTAACTGCTGGTTTTTGTGTGATGACATCATATAAGGTCTGATGTTTCAATTTCTTATTTCCAGAAGTGGTGAGTGCAGACATTTTTTGTGTGGCAGTGTCCAAGTCAAGGAACATCAAAACTGAGCTTGTCTTTGCAAATCTTTCGTTTTGCCCCTTGCGAGGAAGCTCCTCAATTTAATGATATTAAATCATGTGCTGACATGCTGGTTTTTTCCCACAGGACCCCTGCTTCGTGCCCTGCACAGGATGGACATGCTCTGGGAATGAATCTGGTTGATGTGTTGGAGAAGACTGTTCTTTGTAGTACCCCTGCCTCACTTCCAGCAGAAGTCGGGACGTGCGTGGTGGACGAGGCAGGGGATTGCAGGAGGCAGGAGCTGTTCTGGTGCTCTGCGCAGCTGCATGCTGCCCTGGCGAGTGGGACTCTCTTCCTGGCTGTGCTGCAGACTTCCTAGGTGATGCTAGGTGAGTTGCTCAATCCCAGCTTTTCTCATGTCTTTGCCAAATGCATGTGTCTTGCTTTCTTGTGGGTGACTTGAGATCTTTGGATCTTGTTTGGAAAAGTGCTGAGCACTGATAACTGTGAGTGAGGCAGTGGGGGCTGAGGTTTGAAAGTGCTATATAAAGCATAACGTAATACTACGTGTTGTGAAAAGATTAGGTCTGAGTTATGCCAAACTGGAGGCAAAGTTGTCTTCAGAACTGGAGAATGATTTTAATCTTAAAGCTGTCACTGCTTTAGTTAGGAAGCTAGGAATAGCACAGTTATTCTAAGTTAGGAGTAACAGAGTAATGGTAGGACTAACCATTATGTTGATGAAGCACTCAGCTGCACCATTGAATTCACAAAGAAATCACTTGTTCCATCTTCCAAAAAAGATGTGAGTAGCATGCAGTAAATAAGGTATAGGACCATATGCCAACTGCCAAGAGTTAAGCAGATTTCTGTTTTGATTAGTGGTAGTTCTGTACACTGCATGATGCAGAGGTGCTGTGGAAATGGTGTGATGTAACTGTGATGCATACCATGCCACAAAAGCAAACAAAGGCAAAGTTTAGGTTTTCTGAAACTTCTTGTATTTCTTCCTGTGAGTGGTTGCCTTGGCAGATTAGTTTTAGTGTAGACGTTTCTATCGTGTAAGATGATTTGGAGTGCAAGAAGCACAGCATTTTTGGATGCTCTCAACTCAGATATAGCATATGTACATAAAACCAACATGCCGTGTAAATTCATCATTCATTGCAGGCACATGCTTCTTGTGCCTGGTTATTGTATCAGATAGTAAGTAGAGAGTATTTGTAATGCCTGCTATCATAATGTCTTGGGGTCACAATTTCATCTGCATTTCCTCTGACTCAGGATTTGTATTTTCCCAGTGTGATATCCATAGCTAGCTACAATGCTGTTGTAATCAGGAAATAATAGAGATTTTTTTTTTTGGCCAAGGCATGATTAAGCTAAATATTGTTTTAACTTAGCTAACCTGAATGCAAATATCTAACATTAGATCAGATTTTATGAGTTGACCAGGAGCGTGTCTTTGGTGCCTAGAAACATAGTGAGTGTGTTTGCCAGATAAGCTGTTACTCTCCATTGCAGGGGAGAGAGAGTAAAAAGCTATGATGCTTTGATAATGGCTGAATATTATATTAAATACACAGAGTAAGAATGTACATTCCCCTTCAAGCTTGCTCACAGGGGATCGACTGCATATGGCTCTGTGAAAGGCTGCAGTAATGCTTTAGGTGTTGAGCAATATTTTTAAGAGCTGCTTTCTAAGAAAACACGAGGTATTTTTGTTTGACTACTGCTGTGCAGTGCAAGTCGTTCTTTAAATCTTTAAAAACAAACAAAAATGGCAGCGGGGGTGGGGGGAAACAATCAGTATTTTATGAGCAGAAGTTAAAAATGAAATTATTTGCTTTACCTAGAGCATTGAGAATTATGTTGCAATTAGACTGATGCAATAGTACACATTACGAAAGGATCGTACAGTTCGCAGGGCTCGCTAGGAGAAAGCACGGGACTGGAGCAGCAGGGATGTTGTGGGCCTGCAGGGCAGCATGCTGGCACAGCTATGTGGGGGAGATTTTCAGCTAATGTGGAGAGAGGAACGCCAAGAAAAATAAAAACTGCTGTTCCTGCGTATCCCATAAAACGGGGCGGGAGAGGAGAGGAGGGTGACTTGTTTTATCAACGTGTCTATTTTATTTCAGTGTCACATCTAATCCAGTGTAGAAAATGTTTTCGGTTATGTGAAAGAGAGAAAGAATGGAAATGGAAGCTCATTATGAGCTAATATATTTTGAAAGCTGCTAATAAT